AAAACTGATTTGGGGATTATGAAAATAATCCACTAAGAATTGGGTTACGTAATTACCTTACTTATCTCTGTAAGTTATACGAAATAGCTTAAATGGTATTAGGTACACAAAATGCTAAAAAAGAACACATAGTCCCTCGACTCATCCATTTCTTCCAGTACTGACGTCTTAGTACGAGTTTAGTACGCGTTCGACGCTCTGATTGGCCGGTTCCAATACACCAACCAATCAGAGCACCGAATGCGGTCTCGTTTTGATTACTTTAAACGTAATTTAAACTCGCACTGGTGGTAGACATAGGCGTTTCTGAAAAACGCTGTTCATACTGCTCACTGAGATGTCTCTATTCTACGCTAGGTTTAAAGTAATTTTCCTTACTTACTCCAAAACGCCTTTCAGCTTCCCGCAGCGGTCACTGTAACCATACCCAGACAGAATGCACGCAGGAGTGCGAGTGAAGATTTTTGTTGTTGAATAAACCCGATGTAAGCTAATTGAAATGTCAGATCGATGGAATGACGTGTTCTTTTTTAAAATTTTAAACGTTAGCGTTCAAGTTATTGTTATTATTTAAAGTTATTTTTTACTGCCTCGCATTTTTAATCGAACAAATGGTACTGAGTAAATTCCGTGCTCAACTTTCATGTCAATCAACGTACCTGCGTATATTCAAGTATATTATATTATTGAGTGTTGATTTTGTGACGGAATCTCGCTATGTAAGCTTCATAGGTAAATCATAAGGTTCATATGACTTGAGTAGCTGGACGTTTGGCATTTACTTATTGAGACTTTTCATATTTGTGGCTATCAGCGCCTGCGCTGAATTACCTACGAGTTCTCAAGGCAATGGGCCGAATCTGCTTGCAGTTCTGCTTAGTCACTACATCCAGGTGTAATGAACTGAGTAAATATGTATCCATCGAAAACTAACTTGAATTTTGTCGTTTTTCCTAATTCTTACTTGAATAGTTTGATACTATAAATAGTAATCGTTAATATTGAGATCAATTTGTTCATCTGAGTTATGTCGCTCATTCTCCTTCCACCCGTCATGCCGCAAAGGCTGTTTACTTTCACGGAAGAATGGCCTCAAGGATAAACCTCGCGGCACACTATCTGATAGCCATCTTAACTTGTTCTTTGTGTATTTCAACCTTTATGTCTTGTTAATAATGATGTCTACTGAATCGTTTACATCTTCAGTTTTTACTATATTTTCATGAATATTATCGACGTTTTTATGACCTTGGAATATAAGGAGATTATGATTGTTATACCTAATAATCATTTTGCAAATTATTTTACCCTAAGACATGTTAATACAATTGACATTGATCACCTCCGCCATTAAAACTGAAATTCCACTTCTGTTAAACCCAGGATAAATCATTGGTATAGGTAGTTTAGTTTACCATTTCAAACGTAGTAATTCGTCAAGCAAACTGCAGGAGATTTTGGACCATCATTAACGTTGCTATAATATATGACTTATTTATTTATTTATAATTCCAACAACCTTTATAATTACCTCAAATCCTCATCTTATATATATATACTAACAGTATTATATCTACCAAATCGTCTACATGTCACTAAATACACAATTAAAATATTTAAGCAAGTAACGCACGTGTAACGTGTCAACTCAACAAAATTTTAGGCAACAGAGTGCAACGTTAAAAAAGTTTGATTTGTGAAAAATATTTTAATTCTGTAGGTGACCATAAACATAGAGTTAATTGAATGTGTCTCCTGCGGCGTTGCTTAAATAAAACCTTGTCGTAGTACCATGTCATGTCCCACGGCAAACCACAGGGGACGTTATTCAGGTAACATTCAATATTTGTGGTCAGCCCTCGAACTTGTCACACAAAATTCAACCACACGAACAGTGTATGTAAGTTCATTTTTGTACTTTGTTCGAGTGAAAATTAATGCTCATTTTGCGCAATAATAAATATCAGGTAACTGAAAGTGCAAGTTGCTTGGATTTAATTTAGGGCGCGGTAATGGGTTTTTGTGTCTAGTGATCTATTTTGATACTATTTTATCAAAAGGAAATGTTTTCTTTTGACCGATGACCGAATGGTTGAATGTGCTATTGTTGTACATAACTCCCCGTTAGAATTTTCTTTTGAAAAGTTTCATTAGTTATATTTGACTTGACTGAAAGGCTTGACACTCAATATATTTGGTTTTAATCTTATCAATGTTGACTAATTCTCATTACTTTAATTTTATACTATTACTAGGTACTCTCGCGCAGTTCCACCTGCTGTACGGCGCCTATTGGTCATTGGTCATAGCGTCATATTGTAGTGAAGAATATATATAATAAGAATGATGCACGATATTTTTGTTACTCACAAATAGCCCGCATATCAATGTCTAGCTTTATACCTGGAAAATTTCGGGATCCTCCATACAAATTTCCATCCCCCATTTTAAGAAAGTGGGAGTCTAAAAGGGACAATACGTGGCCTCCACTTTCTATCATTTCAACTATTTCCACTTGGAAAATCACGTTAAATCGTCATTCCATTTTTTAGTGAAAGACGGATAAATATACAGAGGCACACATTTTACAATTATATAGTAATGTCGGTATGAATTGATTACAAAGTTTACGGCCCGTTTGGTGGTAAGCAGTTGTCGCAGCTTAGAAACATCACAAGTGGAATAGTCGGAGACCATGTAGGAAATTGTTTAATAGCGTTATCATTTCCAAATAAGTAGATTGAGAAAATTGTAGTGCAATCAAACAACACGTTGGCTATCTAAAAACTGTCAGCAAACGTAACGAAATTACATCACCTTACGTTACGTAAATGTGAGAGAGCCATATTTCGCCACGAATGGGCCGGCTCGACCGGCATGATATCAAGTAACCCGGCCTCAAAAAATCGGTACAACGTTTATATCGTGTATGTCCTTTTGTTTTTTGCAATAAAAAGCCGACAATGCACTTGTCCATGGGTGGCGCCGATTGCTTACCTTCGGTAGATCCGTCTGCTGGTTTTCTGGCCTGTACCATAAGAAAGTTCTTTACGCAGGCATTCAGCGATCGGAAGGTACTTTCCAGGTCAAGCCATCACATTAAAGTTACATTAAATGTAGTAGTTCTACCACCGTGACATGTTATAATTATGAAAAGCAATTATGAAAAGAATAAAAATAGCGAGTATATTCATATTGAATCTATTTATTACTTATCGCTACCCTCTTACGTAATAACATAATAGAATTAAACATACACATACATTCATACATTGTACATCTGTTTTACAAAATCTGTCTTCATAATAATTCCATTTTGTTTAAATCTCACCAGGTAATCATTTGCTCAACACACATAAAATAGACTAACAGCAAAAATGATACATGATGATGATGACAGACATTTTGGAACACCAGTTCCTAAATTTCTAGCCTCCATAGTCTGGCCGCCCAAAGACTAGTAACTAAATGTATGTTGCTAGTGCCTATGGGCGGTGCCGATTGCTTACCATCAGGTGATCCGTCTGCTCGCCTCCCGCCATATACCATAAATGAAAAGTAATAATACAAAAAATCTGAGAAGTACATTAAAAAATATTTCCGAATTATATACAGTTTCCAAAATAATGTGCAATGATACAGATTGTGAAGGACATAGTAAAGCCTCATACTAGCAGTTAGACAAGACAGTCGATAATAAATATTATTGTAATAAATTACACATGTACTGAAATGTTTCGAAAGGAAAATAGTATGCATTGTGAAACTAGAAAACCGTTACGAGAACCGGGTAACAAAGCGAGCAATGTTATGCACGCGTCTCTGCAGGCATCGACCACCGAGTCCATGATTTCCCTAGCGACCGATTCACGCCGCAGATCGTAAACGCGGCGTCATCCAACTGTCGCTCATACAACGTGATCAACACTTGGAAACGCTCTCTTAATTACAGCTTTTTCGGCAATTTATATCATAATATTTTAGAGGCTACAAGTAAAATTGGTACTTATGATATTTACATAAATGTTGTTCTACAATGCAATACAATTTATACGATACGCATAACTGTGTGAGTAAGTCACATGCCGGAAAAAATCCTAATTAATCTTTAAAAGTGTATTTCACACTAGATATGTGTATTTATGTTTATCATTTGTATCACTTTATCCATTACATTGCCAATGCATATTTAAATGAACCCTTGAGTTATTTAGACGCCTTTGAAGGGGTTCACGCAAGTTTGCCCTCTTAGTGATGAGAGGGGCCTCACCTGCTTATAGACGTCTCTAGGGACGCTAATATAAGCCCTTCTCAGTCTCTACTCAGCTCTTAGAGCTCTTTCACTAATATTGTATGTAGACGACTATTAAAAATATATGAATAAACCTTAATACAGTTTATACAAACGGCTGAAGAGAATTATGTATTTCTTACAAAAATCTCTCCCAGTCTTATTAATTGCTTTTAATAGTAAGTAACATTATTTGAAGGGTAAAAGTAAGTAATATGCTGTGTACATTTATTACTGAAGATTTTGTCCTGCGTTCCACATTCATATAGAGTAAGGCTAGCACCAGTAATTACTGTGTCAGCTTCATCAATTTATGTTTAAGTAGGTTGCAGAAAACCAAGTGGACTACAGTCCAGCTTAAAGGAACAATTTCCTCAATCAAGACTCGCTTCAGTATTGAATTATCTAGAAAAACGTCAAACCTCGAGAAACATTTGAACAGTTGTTAGGATTTCACTTACAAATACAAAGTAAAAACGATCAGCATTGAAATATAATAGATATTATTGATTAGGAAAAATTGTAAAACATCAAGTGCTAGTACTTGCCCACAATTTGACAGAGACACAAGGTATAATTTATGTACATTTCTCATTGGTATACGTATAGAACGTTTTTGAAAAACAAAAGCCAAACGTCACGTTTCGGTAAAAATATATTCTCGTGTTGTGAGATCATTTTCTTCAAATCATTACCATTGCTTTTCATATCATTCAAAAAAGCTGTCCTTTTTGTTGTCTGTTATTTTGTCTAATAATGGAAGAATAAAATTGAAGACTAGATCTGGTGCATCAGGTGACCAAACAAAATCATAATGTCCAAAGTTGTCCGCTTTCACAACATGATGAACGTTTACATTTGGCAGAAGAGGTAAAATTGTTTTAATGTCCGACACAGTCGCTAGCCAATCCGAAGGAGAACTGAACAATGCCAGTGGCAGGGTTACTTTTTTCAAATTATATATTTCGGGAGTCCCATTCTTATACTTTCGTACATTATTAGCGGCTCCATAATCAAACATTTGAAAAAATCCAGTCTTCGCCAACTGCACGAAATGAATTATTGTTTTCGCTGATGTTCCACCAGGGGTATGGGTCAGGATATCTTCCATGAGCTTCGTTTCCAACAATAGGCTGCCACCATTTACTAATAGTAGCATAGGATTTTCACATGACCTTTTGTCTCCTTTACAATATCTCTTAACAATTTGTTCCGGAAACGTTCCTGAATTCATAAATTCAGTCTGCCCCAAGAAGTTCAGAGAACTGTGACCATTTGTGCTATAAAAATTTGCTAACAGTCTCATTGGACCTTTTACATGATACATAAACGCTAATGGTGCTAGTAGGACCCCGGATCTCAACACATCATTATATTCTGGTGCTGTTGACAAAAGAACTAGAAGTGCTGTGGCCCCCATAGAATGTCCTATGAAGTTTAGCTCTGCTTTATTAGTAATTTCGCTAATATATTTAAAAGCTGCGGGTAAATCATACATACCCATTTCGTGCCACGAAAAATCCCAAAATTCTAACCTTTCAGCACTTTTCCCTGTATGTGTTTTCGAGTATTTGTTACCTCGTGCATTTAGCAGCCACACGTCATATCCATTATCACTTAATAAATAGGGTAGTGCTCTTCTTTCCCCAAGAAGCAGCCAATCTTCTGAGCTTCCAAGTATACCGTGATGCAATATAACTGCGCGTTCGTAACGTCTATCGAGGTCACGCATTATTCGATGCATAGTTATCATATAACCATCACCTGAGAGGACGGTGTGCGATTCTGATTTAAATCCATGTGCAACTATTAAATGTTCAGCAGAAAATTCTGGTTGCACCTCGAAAGTATTACTAGCATTCTTTTCTGGCCAGGAGGATTTTCCAACGATTTTCATATATTCAGTAGCTCCTGTTGCCGCCTTCGCTGTCGGTTTCGAATGCTGGTTACTTTTACCCCTACCCCATACTTCAAAAAATGCCTGAAAGGCAGTCTTCATACGTCTCCTCTTCTCCTCAATTCTACTACTAAAATAGTTTGTAATTCCACCGAAAAAAACATTCAGAGGAGTAAAAACTCCGTTGCTTGATCTTAATTCCCTTAGATGTTCAGTTTCGCTTTCTGCAGCACGAATGAGATTTATATATAATATTATATTTAATAAAACAACACACAACAACAAGTGTCTATACATTTGGACAACCACAAGTGTACAACACTTCCGAATGAACCGGTGCCGCGTACAGTTCTACTAGAAGTGAAATTGTTTCGAAGCATGGTACAGAAAACCCTTTACCTCAATAACAATAATGTTTACTTAAACTATCCTATTCTAGCACTTGAAACAATAATCAGATTTTTCGAAATAAAAAGAGCGGTCGTAGTGAGTATCGATAAACAAGTCTATTCAGCAACCTCTTTAGAAAAACAATTGAAAATCTAAAGAAAAGTCAGGGCACTGCTTGAGAGTCATCACTCGGCTGAAGACAATAATGCATTCAATAATATACTCACAATAGGTACATGTCGTTGTGGCCCGGAGATTTAAATCGCCCGATTCTCACGCATGAAGGTGCAGGTTCGAATATGGCGAGTACCAATGTGACTTTTTCCGAGTTATCTGTAGTTTCTAAAATTATTTACACACCACACCAATGACTTACGTTGAAGGAATCATCGTGAAGAAACCTGTACCTGTCAGTATTATAATTTTGAAATCGTTAATCCTCCTTGAACAAGGTGATTTACGCTCAATCCTTCTCCGCGCGAGAAAAGGCCGTCACTCAGTAGAATGCAATGATAATGGTGATAATATTTGTTAATTTAAGTGTGGGAGAGCCATGCTTCTGCACGAATGGGCCGGCTCGACCGGAGTGACACCACGGCCTCACAGAAAACCGACGTGAAGTAACGCTTGCGTTGTGTTTCGTCGTGTGAGTGAGGTTACCGGAGGCCCAATTACCTTCCCCTTCCCCAATCTCCCCAATCCCTGAATCCCCAACGATCCTCAAACTCCTAATCCCTTAAAAGCCGGTGACGCACTTGTAACGCCTCTGGTGTTCCAGGTGTCCATGGGCGACGCCAATTGCTTACCATCAGGGGATCCATCTGCTCGATTACCGGCTTATACTATAAAAAATAAGTTGAAGAAGACCTCGTCGCCATTTATAACCGACTTTAAAAAAAGTAGGTTCTCAGCGTTACCTATATGTATGCACATATAATTTAATCTCATAAGCGATTTTGATGCGCTTTTCAGAGAAGCGTCTTTGTTACACTTAAGAGAAGGTATTAGTATATTAATTAACCGACTTCAGAAAAAGTGGAGTTGAAGTCAGTTTACGATAAACGTAGTTTATAAGAGAATTATTGTAAACAGCCGTTAGGTAAATTATTCTGGATGTCGCAGCCCAATCTAGAACAATATTACCTACATCTGGCAGAAAGAACTTACTAAACTATAAGGCTCTTGAAATCTCAAATAAAAATCTACACATTAATCCCTCTATTTAATTCAGTAATGACATCTATCCGTGCAAAATAGAACAAAGTGTTCTGTAAGAGGACAAAACTTAATCGAAAATTGTTTAAAAAATTAATTCTTGTCTAACATTTAACTCCTGCTAGGCAATTACATAATACAAGCAAAAGGTTTCAGAACGATTTTCTTATAACTGCGATGATCTCCGGCCGTCGTAAGAGCAAGTGCGTGGACGGCGAGTAAGGGTTATTAGCCGGTCGACTTAAACCAAAACCGCAGAACCACACCCATGCGAAAGCTCAAAGAGTTATTAAATTCGTAACATACTATGACTGATGAAAAGTAAGAGTTACATTTACGTTTAACGTATGTGCCTTTGCTGGTAGGTAGTGGACTTGTTTTATTGAGTAGGTATCTATAGTGTAGTAGTATAGGTAGATATCTAAATTGAAACAAGTGTTTTATTTAAAGCGTTTAATTAAATAATGTCAGGTCCAGTAGAAACCCTATGCTCAGGTTAAAAAAACTGTTTCTGTATCGTCATTGCCATCTTTCTTATAGTCACATGAGAATCCACGACGCTCAACCCACTTACACCATCATATCAATTATGAGAAAGGTCAGCAACATACTCCTGATGCTTTTGGAGGAGTTGTAAGGGAATTTAAGTTACAGTGACTCCTTGCCGTCAGGTGTTCTATATACAATGTTTGCCATCGAAAAAAGCTGAATTAGAATCTCTATACTTCTATCACTGACATCCATGTTACCTTATTGTCAGAAAATATGATTAGAGAAAAACCAATTCCACTCCTAATCTCTGAATCCCAAGCATCAAATACCCAACCCCAAAAGCCGGTAACGTACATGTAACGTCTCTGATATTCCAGGTGTCCATGGGCGACGCCGATTCCTTCATCAGATGATCCGTGGGCTCGTTTACGGCCTTATCCCATAAAAAAAATATTTTATTAAAGTTGATACTGAAATATTTCTTGGAATTGGTCAATGAAAACCAGCGCTCAATAAATACATTCTCAAGCAATAGGCTGCTAACTATAAGACATTAGGCTAAATTATGATCTAACGGCATGAATAGATAACCACTAGATACACAATGGTATCTGCAATCATCGACACAAACAAACAAACATAAATTTATGTGAAATTTAATAAGGTCGTATGTATGTATTACTAAATACTCGCTGTATTCAAAATTATCAAATGTTTGTAATGTATGACTTCTCTATTACAAAGAATCTCTATGACTTCTCTATGCTCAAGCACGGCTCAAACACGGCTTCAGCACGGCCCTGGCATGGCGTTTTTTGCTTTGGAAACAATACAAAAAGTTAGTAAGCGCACCGAGCTTTTTATTTTGACGTTATGAAATATGTCATGCGACATACGATTTAAAGTTTATATTTAAATAACAAGTTAATTGCTGGGCAACTAAAGCCTAACAAGTACAGCTAGAAAGCTGTGCTTCTTAGGTGTTCGATGAGTTTCACAGAGTTATATCATTTTCATACCACCTTTGTACCACATTCAGCGGCACATTGTCATGTTGACTGCATAGTTGGCGCAGTGGTTGGGTGACTGGCCGCTATACAACGTACGGCTCTAGACCAAAAAGTGACAATGGGATTTTTTCTGTAAAATTACCATTATTAGCGCGGAATAAGAAGTCTCGGCAGTGTTCACCCCCGTGTCTCAGAAAGCACGTAAAGCCGTTGGTCCTGCGCCTAATCTCTCACCGGTCAAGTCGGTCTGCCTGTTAATGGCCGGGTCATGGGGTTCATAGGGTGAACTTGTGTTTGCGCACACACTTGTTCACTATAACAATAATTATATGCCATATTTTAATAAAAATATGAATGTAATTAAACCAACGTAAAATCCTGCACAAACTACAGAGTCCTGCGCAGAAAACAGTAAAGCTACGTTTAGAGAACGCAAAACTTGTTGTTGTTTTGTTTGTTTGTCAAGCAAAACTGACATCTATTTACATTCTCCGGGTAAAGTTTGTCTTTTAGCCCAACTTATTATTTCCATTAGGTGGATGGATTGCAATGACCTGGGCCAACCAGAGCCACTTATTCAATTTCTGTTCAAACTCAAACTTAATTATTACGTAGTTGATACAAAACTGCATTTCCAACTCGAGAAAACTCGCTGAAAATGTTACATACTGATACATGATTTATTTGAAAGTAAATGTTGATTAATGTGATAAGTTATTTTTAAACAAATAAAAATTTTATGTGTGGGATAGCCATGCTTCGGCACGAATAAGCCGGTGTGTGAGTGAGGTTACACCACACACCCTTCCCCAATCCCTGAATTCCAAATTCCTAATCCCAAAAGGCCAGTAACTCCCGAAAGGCCAATAACGCCCTTGCAACGCCTTTGGTATACGTACCAGGTGTGTTGACACCATGGGCGACGCCGATTGCTTATATACCATCAGGTGATCCGACGAAAAAAATACGTTTGTTCTAAGTTTCAATTAACCACCAAGAGAGGCAGCACTTTTAAATTTTCGGTGACCTCTAACCACACATCGTGGATATCAAGGCCGACTTTCTTTTAGCGGGAGGCAATTTGTTTAGCAGTAACTGTTTGCTGTGTTCTTTATAAAAACGCGCATTGTATAGCTATAAAAATATAGTTTACACTTGGAGAACAGGATTAACTTAGTGTGTTGTAACATGGATTTAAATTGGGTATAATTTTCCTTATTCTTTGTATATGCACTTATGTATTACCAATAAAGATGTGAGAGAGTTAATTAAGTACATCTTTATCAAATATTCTTCTTGCCTGCGTATAAATCATAATAATAAACAACCAGAAAACATAATATGAACAGGATTAAACTAAATCTCCTGTGTGAGGCAATCAGATAACTTTTACAATACGAGTTGCAACACTATTCGCTTGCCCACCAGAGACAGGGTTGCCCGTTGCCAATTTGGTAGTAACGACAAACTTTTTTCATAGCAAACAAATCCTGCTTTACATTAATTTGAAAGTTTGGTTTAGAAATTGATGTTTTTATGCCCAAAATACCTCTACAACAGCTACTACAGCTTTACTTTTTCTCTTCATGAAGGTCAAGAAACATGGTTCGTATCGTATGGTAATTATGTAATTAGACTTCACAATCGTTGATTAGGAGCACTACTTTTGGTCTCCTTTCAAGAATGTGCAACATTCAATATTTATTCCACGAACGTCTATTTCAATTAGACGAACTACAAAAAAAGCTCATCTGGCAGTCATTTAATGTAGGTAACTAAAATTATTGACGCGTCAAAAGATAATAAAAATAATCTTAAGGCGAATTTAATATAATTAACATCTATCCAGTCCAAGAACATGGCCCCTGTTCACGAACTTGCCATGTAAACTAGCACCGCCCAACTCAACCATATTGCAAGGAGTCGAACGATCCAATACCCGTGCCACCGCCTTTGAGACCTTTGAGTGAGAGCATGGCAGACTCTAAGCTGACA